GCCGGCCCGCGCCCTCGCTCGCCCCGCGCGCGTGCCTCGGGCGCCACCTCTTTGCGACTCGCTCACTCGGGCGCAGGTTGGCCCCGGAGCGTGTGAACCTTCCCGGGCTGGGCTCTGCTACGCTCCAACCTGCGCCGCCCCGCATGCCTCCCCGCCCGTGAACCGGGCCGCTCCGCCCCGCGCCCGCCGGAACCCGCCCTCGGCCACCTGGCCCTGCCGTCGTCGCCACGCGCGCCTGCAACTTGTTCTAGGGCGTGTGGAGTCAACTTTCCGGAAGCATCCAGCCCACCGGAGGAGGTAGACGGACAGCTATGTATATATACACGCGCTCTCCGGCAAGTGGCTGTGGACCCAGAGCCCCAGGGCGCAAGGCAGCTGACTCCTGCAGGAACTGGCTGGTCTAAGCAAGGGGTTCGCCCTGCGCCACCAACCCCAGACACCCGCCGGCCAGATCCTCCAGACACTGCTGTGGGAGACGCGTCCACCCGCGACGCACCCCCGATGCATCTGTAAAACCCTCTGGCTTGGGCTTTTTTCTGCCGAGGACGCGCTCTGCGTCCTTCCCCCTCTGGGTCCCTCTTTGGCTCTGTGGTTTGGGAGAGGCGCAGTTAGACCCGCTGGTTCCCTCATCAGTAAGTGCTCGGAGGCTCCACAGAAACTTCTTTTTGCTTTCTTTTTCTTTTCCTCTTTGCAACTTGGAAGATGTCCTGGACTTGGAAGAGGCTGCTGGGGACCCGCGGGCTTCTAGAAGGGGGGAGCCGGGCAGTGCGGGGGAGATGGAGAGCACTGGCTGACCCTAGGTCTCCGGGAGGTGGAGAGCCCGGGCTGACCCCGGGTCTCCATCCACTCTTGCAGGTCCCGGAGGCATGATGCTGCGCAGGCTGGTTCAGCAGTGGAGCGTCGCGGTGTTCCTGCTCAGCTACTCCGTGCCGTCCTGCGGGCGCTCCGTGGAGGGGCTCGGCCGCCGGCTGTAAGTGCTGGGTGCTGCCCAGGGCGCAGGGTGGGGAAGGCCAGCTCCGGAGGCTGCCGTGCTGGGGCGCTGCCCAGGGCTCGGGTTAGACACTGGGGTCACTCTCCCGGGTACCTGCTAGCCTGTGGCAGAGCCCCGAGAGCCAGCTGAGAACTGGGGGGACCCCCAAGAAGGGACAGGCAAAAGACGCGTTTGATGCGCTAGTTTTCCATAAGAGGGAGTTTTTCTCAGAATTTCCTCCAGGGCATGATCTGACTGCAGGTTTCTTTGCTGACCAGACCGGGAAGGTTTTGAAACTGGGAGGGAAGCTGAGGGATCCGGAGATGTTTTGTGAGAGTGAACGTGTGTGCTGTGTGGGTGGCGGTGTGTGTGTTTGTGGAAAGGGAAAACTTTACAACTAATTTTACTATGAATAACATAATTTTAAGCATGTAAAAGAGGACCGTATTACATAACGAAGGCATATTATATAATGTAATAGTAACAACTTTTCAATACTATGCATCCAACTTGAGTATTGATCGCCGTTCAGGAAGGCTAGCGTGTTTGCTTCCGAAAACGAACTCTAGATGTGGAAGGAAAAAGCAAACTCTTTTTCCTGGAATTATTGCTAATGGTTCTTTAATCTGGGGACAAATATTTGCATTGTGGACTGAAAGCTTGTATTTTGGCATCTTCTGTGGGTGATTTTTTTAAGGCTACTTCTGACTTTGAGATAATCATGCATGTAAGTACAATGGCAAAAAATGACTGGGATGTGTGGCTGAGGAGCTATGCGTCCTTGAGTGCGGCTTGGCCACTGTCTTGATAATCTGTTGGACCTAGCAGTTCATCAATGCATGTAATCCCATCTCTGGGTGCTCTCTAAAGGCAGACTCGGTGTTCAGGATGGGAAAACCATAAAAGTTAAGAACCAGAGGAGTTGACTCTGGAGAAGGGACTAAGGTGGACTTTTACCCCTTACAATAAAAATAGCAATTATCTACCTAATGTGTATAGTCAGGTTCCTGGTGCTTCCTTATGAATTCCCGGGGTGTATAAAAAGGCAACTGTTTTATGGGTGGTTTTGGTCTATTATTATTAGTACAGCAGAAAATCTTTAAATGAAATTACTTTAGACATGTCTGGATCTTGGCAGAGAAATGAAAATCTATTACTGATCTCCTAAGGCAAGTTGTATAGAACATTGTACTACAGATAAAGCCACATTGTGTCCTGGGGTGAGTGCTCTGCTGGTGTGTTTCTGAAAATTGTCTTCAGACTTTTTGCTCATTTTGAGACTTGTGTGAAATTCAATTACTTAACATCTAAATATAAATACGGATGAAGACTGGATTTTTTTCAAAAAAAAAAAGCACACTTACATACTGTATTTATTTGGCTAAGAATTTCTGTCTTGGAACAGAGCCAATTTTTTCTTTAAAGTTGCTTGAGAAACAGTAAATGAACCATGATTAAATCCACAATTACAGCATAAAAATAGTGGTACATTGTCCCAATAGCTATTTTTAACTCTTCGTTCGATGCACCTTGCAAAACACACATCAGAAACCATTTGGCAGCCCGGACTCTGTGCTAGTTCTGTTTGTGGGTGAAATTTAATATTGTAGTTAAACACTCACACTCAGCAGATGGTTATAAAACTACCACAAGACACTCTCATAGGTAATAGCTAATAGCTCATCACATTACAACCACGGGTTTTCATGGGAGCTGAAATCATTGGTAGATGAAGATATTTCATCAAATCCTCACAGCCAAATGGAGTTGAAAAAAAACCAAGTCATTAGTTCTGCCAAGTAACAGTAAATTCTGTGTACCAGACAAAACACTCATCTAGCTAGCTCCCTGAAACATCAGGCTAGCTCCCTGAAAGAAAGTTTAATGTATCACCAAACCATATTAATCCCATTTTAGGGACACTACACTGTAACTGCACTTCCTAATGACCAGTAAAAAATCTTTTGGACCTGTTAGTCTAAAAAATATTTTACTAATGAGGCTGGTGCATGACCAAACTGGTGACTGGAAAGTTAGGGTGAACGGATGCTGCTGTGTAGATGGACGTGGTGTAGCCAGCAGCCCCTCTGTGTTTACCATAGCAAGGGAACCCCAGTAGATGGAGAGCCTGAGGCATCACTGGCTGCCTTGCTTGGGAGCCAGACTAGGTCTCTTCTACATAATGAAAAGCATAGCTTCCTACTGAGTCATGGGGGTTGGGAGGGAGCTCTGATGAGTCATGCCAACTCTAACACCCTAACCCTGTCTCCTCCGTGTACCACAGAGCTTTTCTCAAACTCCAAGTTGGTCCCCAGAGCCTCACATCAGCACACTCATGCTGCTGGGAGAGGAATTTCCATTACTGTTCACTCCCCTGTTCCTTGATAGCTCCTTAGAAATTTCATCTCCTTCCCCGAGAACTCCCAAGAGTGACTTTTCTTTCAAGCAGAGTAGCTATGTTCTGACTGAGATCAGAGTCATCTCTGTTAAGCATTTGCTATTTTTGCCTTTTTTTTTTCAATAATCAACAATGATAAGGCATAATGTACCTGTTTATTCATGCTGGCTCTTAGTTATGTAGTAAGATCCACCTTAACCACAGGTGTTTTGCACTGTCCACAGACATACTGAACAGCAGTTACTGGGGCATGTTTATAGCTAAAGTATTTCTGAGTTATCTAAATTGAAAACTCCCTTAATTCGACTTGATTCTGACCAAGGTCCATTCATGCCAGTTGCCGGTGTCAGCTTATACCTTATTTTACAAATAGATTGTTTACGGACCTTTTTCACTGTTGGTGGAAACGCCATTGTGCTTCTGCCCCTCAAATTCAATTTCCCAGAGATCTGTCCTCCATACTGTTTTAAGGGCAGACAACTTTAAGACATTAGGTAGTTTGTCTAACAGCATGTCAAATTTAGCATTTTAGAAAATTTGTGTTTTCTAGACTGGGGATGTGGCTCAGGTGGTAGAATGCTTGCCTAGCATGCACGAAGTCCTGGGTTTGATCCCCAGCACTGGACGAACTGGGCGTGGTGGTGCATCTTGTATCTCTTGAGAGGCAGAGGCAGGATTGGGAATTCAAAGTCTTTCTCAGCTACATCGAAAATTTTGAGGCCAGACTAGACTACATGAGACTCTGTTTTTAAAAAATTAAATTAAAATATGTTTTCTACTGTACCAACAATGTCCTCTCAAAGGAAGATGGAGAGCTTGTACCCCACAAGAGATGTTCCAAGCTGAGTAGAGCTAGGCCATGCTGGTGTCGTTTTATAAAACACAAGGTTAGATGGTCATTGCTTTTCCCATGAGAGTCGTCCCGGGAAAGTGCAGCTCTTAGGTTGGGAAGGCACTGTGACTCACAGTTGACAGGCTAGCCAAGATGACAGGCAACCATGCCAGTCATGGGGGCAGAGCAAGGGTGACTTGATTCAAATAGACCAACCACTAACAGCTTTGGCTCTGAGTCTGGCTAGAATGGGCTGTGTAATGGCTCTACACAGATGAGAAAGACATCAGCCAGGGACTGTGGAAGAATAGAAGTTCTCGGCGCTATTAATTATCTCTACTTAAAATTGTCTTTTGAATATGATGTTTTGGTAAAAGATGCTTATTAAACTATAATGCTTATGAAATATATACCATTAGATCAGTCCTATTCTTCTAAAATGTTATTAGAGGATATAAATACATTGTACCCAAACCTCAAATTTGTAGACTATTAAAAGTTTCCAGAGGACTGTTACCAGGATAAGCGAATTTTAATCTATTCACATGTGGCACCTTCAGAAAGCAAGAGTACCTCCTTCAAGCCTCATTTAAACCAGGCTCCTGTTAAATTCCTTTCCATGAAGTCATGTCTTTTTTTTTTTTTTTGAACAAGTTATATGGCTTAAAGTCAGTCCCCAAACTAAAATACTAGAAGGAAGCTGACATTCTGACCACAGGGGCCAGAGCAACGGCAGCTAGCCCTCTCTCAGTCCTTCCCTGACCCCTGCCCCAGCCCCATGATAAACCAAGTTCTGTGAAGCCTAGTACCCTATTTTGGTGATGAGAATGGGTTTTCAGGGGATGTGGTCTTTAAGGAATAGAATCATTTTCTGTGTGTCTGCCCTCTGCTGTGCCCTGCACTTCGGGCCCCGCTTCAGCTCTGGTTGAACAGGAGAAAGGGCTGAGGGTGTGCACAGGGAGTGCTGACTTTCAGAATCAGAGCAATCAGGTTTCGGAGCCCCAGCTTTGCAAGCTTTCATTGTGTGGACTAGGGAAAATCTTAACTCTGTACCCCAGCTTTCTCATCATTAAAATGAGGGTCATGAATCTGTTTATTATTCTCCTGTTTCTCTGCAGAGTTGGCAAAGCTCTACTACAAAGACAAAAGGCCCCCAGATACCCTTGTCTGAGGGAAGTAAGAATGCCTCGGAAAGAGCTCTGAGAAATACTGTCAGATTTCTGAAGATAAACCAATTGCCAATTCCACAGGTAGAAATTAGAGTTTGGTAAAACTTAGTGAAAGCTGTGGATGGTGACGCAAACCTATGATCCCAGCACTCAGGAGGCTGTGGAGGGAATTTTAGGCCCACAGAGCGTTATAGGGCATCCTGGGCTACATAGTGACATAGTTTAAATGTAAGTTGAAGCAACCTGATCTGACAGGTAATGTGTGTCTTCCTTAAATACAATTAACGATGCTCACAGAGGGATTGGGGGAGGGGTGAGTCCAACAGAGAGAAACTAGTTGCTTTCTTTCGCTCTGTTTTCATTTTCATTATTTAACAAACAGAAAAGGCACTTCATGCTTACTCCTTAGAAGTACTTTAAGAGGGAAAAAAGCAAGTAGGAAGGTGGACTTCTCATTAAGTCCTGAGGCGTCTGCTTGCTGGTTATTTGTTTGCCTCTTTGAGACGGAGTTTCACTGTTAGACCAGGCTGGCCTCACACTCAAGGCAATCCACCTGCCCGAGGCTCTCAAGTACTGAATTACAGGCATGCACCAGCAACAACCAGACCCCGGGAGATTTTATATTAAAAAGAAAAAAAACTGAAGCACCAAAGAAATAGGATGATCACGTTCACAAACAGACGACCGACTAGTGTGCTAGGGAAAAACTTCTCTTTTCTCTCCCCTCCCTATCCTCCTCCCTTGATCTTCAAACACAGGTCCAGGGTGTCCACTTGGGTCCTACGGTGGCCTGGACAGCTCGCCCTTTCTCATCTGGAATCCTCACACTTGAGATTTGTATTATTTTCTTGCTGGGCAACAGTGGTATATGTACGTGCAGGGTGTGTGTGTGTGTGTGTGTGTGTGTGTGTGTGTGTGTGTCCCTCTGTGTGTGTCTGTTATGTTCCCGTATGGACAGGCATGGAGTGTACTCACTGACAGCAACTTTACTTGCATTTCTATCACAAAAAGCTGGGGGCAGGACTTTTGGGTTTCTCTCCCCCAATGGACCTCTTGAGAGCATGAAGAGAAGCTCAGTGGTTTAAGTCTGTTTCTTAGTTTGATTTTTCTGCAGCTATAACCCAGAACACTTTATTTTCTCCAGTGCTAGAGAGGGAACCCAGGGCTTGCACATAGTAAGCAAGCACTCTAGAACTGAGTCACACCCCCAACCTCCCCAGTCCATTTCTAGCATAACTGAATTATAGACTTTTCAATTGAGAAGGGAGCTGAATTTGACCCTTTTATACAGATGACCCCCAAGAATGCTCTGGTTCCCTCTCTGGCGAGGCCTGGGGACCAGGTCCTGGCTGCCAGCTCTCCCCTTCCCACCTCCCTTCCCCGTTCTAGAGGCCAGGAGCTCCCCCAGACACCTTCTGCAGGGAGGGCCCACGCAAGGCGCGCTGGGGTCTGAGCCCCTGTCCACTCTTATCCCGCACCAGCAAGCGGGCGGTGTCCGAGCACCAGCTCCTGCACGACAAGGGCAAGTCCATCCAGGACCTGCGCCGCCGTTTCTTCCTGCACCACCTGATCGCAGAGATCCACACGGCGGAAATCAGAGCTACCTCGGAAGTGTCCCCCAACTCCAAGCCTGCTCCCAACACCAAGAACCACCCCGTGCGGTTCGGGTCGGACGACGAGGGCAGATACCTAACTCAGGAAACCAACAAGGTGGAGGTGTACAAAGAGCAGCCCGCGAAGACGCCCGGGAAGAGGAAGAAGAGCAAGCCCGGGAAACGTAAGGAGCAAGAGAAAAAGAGGCGGAGAGCCAGGGCGGCCCGGCTGGATCCGGCCTGCAGTGGGCTGCAGGAGGGCCACCTGCCCCTCGACGCGGGGACTGCACTACAGCCCGGCACAAGGTCAGTGTGTGCCCGGCCTGACCCCCGCCTCCCATCCCTGGTCCAACAGACCTAGAACCGGCCCCCCTCTGTACCAGCATTTTAACCTGGTGTAGGCCACACTGGACACAGTTCTTTATGACTGCTCAACACTTTGATTTCATTTCCTTCCTTCCCTCCCTTCCCTCCTTCCTCCCCCCTCCCTCCTTCCTTCCCTTCCTCCCTTCTTTCTTTTGTTTCTTAAGGCAGGGTCTCACCCTGTAGCCCAGGCTGATCTGGAACTCTCTGCATGCAGCTCAGGCAGACCGTGAACTCAAAGCAATGTTCCTGCCCCAGTCTCCTAAATGCTAAGGTTACAAGCATTTACCACCAACAGGGGTAGTGTTTCCATTTCTATTCCCGCCTCTGAAGCTGATCCTGTTCATCGATGGCTGGGAAATTACATTTATTCCCCATTTTAACAACTTGGAAAAGCTTTCCTGATCGTTTTTTATTTCTTAACGTTTCTTTCCTTCACTTCAAGGGAAGAATTTTAAAGGCCTTGATATCATCTACCAACATGGTAGAGCAGTGTCTCACCATAAGCAATTCTGAGCCATTCACACATTATTTAATTAAATGCATTTAATTACATTTCAGATTTATTTCAATTTAAAGAAATTAAATTATTTTTTAAACACATGCTTTGAATTTAATTTTCAATTAAATTTAACTCTGGTTTCTACCAGCTCATGAAAACAAAATGCTTTCTGAAATTTTAAGTATTGGCTTGGAAAGGATTTAAGCCTTTCTCCTGTATTTCTCCATTAGCAAGTTGACACCATTTCACCATTTCTTCTCCCCGCCCCCCAACACAGTAAGGAACAGGGGACCACACTATGCGGCTGGCTTACGCTTTGCTCGTAGATCTAGTGAACGACAGTCACAGCTTAGAGAGCTGAACAACTCAAGGGTAGTTTCGGGCCTCACTCACTAGAGTACACAAGCTTGGCAAATAAATGACTTGATCTGAGACTCACTTTTGTCTTCTGTGAAGGAGGACCAAGCTTACAGGGTTGGGTAACAATTAGATGATGTTGCGTGGGTTAAACATCTGTCATAAATGACAGATTGCGACATCTTGTTTTGGAAATCTTTATGAACAACTCAAGGGTAGTTTCGGGCCTCACTCACTAGAGTACACAAGCTTGGCAAATAAATGACTTGATCTGAGACTCACTTTTGTCTTCTGTGAAGGAGGACCAAGCTTACAGGGTTGGGTAACAATTAGATGATGTTGCGTGGGTTAAACATCTGTCATAAATGACAGATTGCGACATCTTGTTTTGGAAATCTTTAGACCTGGGAGAGAGATATAGAGAGAGAGAGAGAGAGAGAGAGAGAGAGAGAAACAGGTGGATTTCTGTGAGGCAGAAAAGGAGGCAGATATGAATTTCATTTTATAAGACATGTCGAAAACCAAAACACTCCACAACTGAAGGTCCCAGGTTAGTTCTTGGATGGGGTAACACTGCCCCCAGAACTGGGTTCATCACCCCATTTCCTGCAGCGTGGGCTGTGCTACATCAGTGCTCCCTCATCATCTGTGAGCACCTATTGACAGGACCTTCTGTTCTGTTTTTTTACTTTCCAGTACGGAACTTCTGTGGGGTTTGAGAGAGAGAGGCGAGCAGAACACGCCACATGCAACTCATGATCTCATGGTTTAAAGTCCCCTGTGACTGCTCCAGTCTTTTGACTCGGGTACAGACAGGACTGCAGAGTTCAAGGGGGAATCTGAACCCATTCATTCTTCACCTTCCTCTGAGTTAAGTTGACAAATCCATTATGAAGCAGTAAAGAAAACAGCAGTTACATTGGTTACATTATACAACTTCTTACTCAATGGACCATAAACTAAAGAACTCTCTACAGCACAGAGAATGGTCCATTCTGCAAATAGCTAATGGCCCCAACTCACAGGCATGGTCAGTGTATTTTAAGATCTGACCATAGTGTATATACATTTATAACTAATGTAAAGACTATGGCCAAGGCCTGCTTTTACTAATTATCTTACTGAATAATTAACCCCATAGACATGCAGAGAAGGGGGAGAGGAGGGTGTATGATCAGATTGTACAGGGACTTGCAGAACTGTGGAATTCAGTAAAATCTTTTCCCAACAATGGCTTTCAAGTTTTAGAAGTGATGGATGAGACAGAACATTCTTCCGGCCACTGCGATACAGTGATTTCAGAGGTCTGAGGCGGTGGTAGGCATGAGCTTAGTATGGACTGGTATATCGTTTCTTAAGAGAAACTACTAGGGAAATTTTTCCTGTTTCCTCTCATACGAACTGTTCGGGGGAAATATATTACTTTAAACTGTAGAGATTAGATTTAAACTTTTTGATGTTTCCTATGAGACTTACTTACTGGAAACCATATATTTTGACTTGGCAAATACTGAGTTTGAAAAATACAAAAGCTTTTCAGTAGTCAAAAGATCTAGAACTCCAAGCCCCGTCATACACACATATAACAGATCACACACCTTTTATACTGACATGTGATATATCTGACTTGGCTTTTCCCACATGTACCTTTGCTAAAGGAGAATTCAGAAAGAAATATAGCAAGCAAACTGTCTAGACAGGGTGAAAAAAATTCAAATATCTTTGCCTTAGCTCTTCATTTATTATTTTCTTTCTTCTTGAGAAAATAACTGTTCAAAATACTATTAATTCCTCCTTTTGATACTCTTAAACCCAGGTCATTAAGTGCCACTTAGAATGGACATGTTTTGAAATTGGACAGGACACAGATTACTGAGTTTTGAAGTCTTTTTCTCTTGCTTTTTCCTTTATCGATGAGATCCGTCCAGTTCAAACACTAATCTTAAACTCTCTTTTTCTTTGCAACTGGAAACTTTTAATATTCCACCCAAAGTACTGCTGAAGAGGCCAATTCCTTAGTCTTAAATTAAGTCTTAAAGTAAACACTCTAAATGCTCAGTTTAATTTTTCTTTCTTTAAGCTGCATGTAAAACTCCAAAACAGTCAAGAATGTTGACTGTCTCACACCCACACGTCTGTCTGCCGGGTGAAGCTCTGCCCACAGATTTGCCTGTTCATTCAGTGACACCATCGATCCCTGCTCTAAGCTGTTTCCTTGGACATCAATGTGTATTCACTGAACAAGACTCCACAGAGAGAAAACAGGGAGCAAAAGCTCCACTACCCCCACCCTTAACGTACTACTATCAGGGTTTCCACTCTAGTGAGAAAACGTGTCGATCCTCAGAATTAACTTACTCTGACTAAAGCAGAGAGAGCCATGGGAAGCACTACAGTTTTCTACTTTTAATTCAATTTATTTATAGGTAGTCTGCCATTTTAAATAGATTTTTTTTTCTGAAGAGTAAGGTGGCACACACCTGTAACCCCAGGCTAAAGCAGGAGGGTTGTGAGTTTGAGACCAGCCCAGGTTACACAGTGAGAGCCTTTCTCCAAACTAAACTAACATAACATAAAATATGCTTTTCTAAGTCTTTTGCAAAATCCATTCAAACCTACAAGAAGAGTGAGAAAGAAATTATTCTTAGTTTTGCCTTCGAAAACTAAAATCCAGTATGTGCTTCGTTATAAGTCTGTACAGACGGCTGAGGGAACAGCAGGTCTTGTCACATCAACACATGTTCTGTTCACGTGCACATTCGTCCGCTGATTACCCAGAGCCTCACATTCTCACTGCCCTCAGCACAGCCCATTGGCTAAATGAGCAGAATTATACTTAAATGAGTAGATACTTTGGATCACCGCAGTCAGGTACGCTGGGAAACAAACTTCTAAACAAGGTGTGCTGATGGCATGCCTCAAGCCAGCCTTACTTTGCAAGAAACCCCTGTGCGTCTCTCCATTGTGAAGCTGTCTTTTAATTCACATCCTCGATTGTACATCATCCCATTTGTAAAGGAAATTAACCTGTCATTTCCTCTTCTTTCCCTCCTTGTCTTCACAGGACGCATTGAAATTTCCAGCAGAGACCTTCCAAGGACATATTACAGATTTTGTAATAGTAAACATATGGAAAGTATTAGAAATATTTATTGCCTGTACATACTGTAAATGCATTGGGATAAACTGTCTCCCCATGAAACTTCACGTTGATCATTGTGAATATATTTTTTTTTCTTTTTAGCCAAGGTTAATCCAATTATTATCACTTTTACCATAATTTATTTTGTCAACTGATGTATTTATTTTGTAAATGTATCTCAGTGCTGCTGAATCTCTCAATTTTTTGTAACATAATGCACTTTAGATATATACATATCGAGTATGTTGATGAATGACACAGAAAAGTGTCTCTATTTTGTGGTTGGTTTAAATGAATGCTGAAATATAATTAGCCAAACTGGTTTTCTTCTGTGCATGTAAAAATAGCAGTATTTTAAATTTGTAAAGAATGTCTAATAAAATGTAATCTAATGACACCATGTGTTCTACTTTGTTCTTCATTGCTGTGACAAAATACTCTGACCAATACCAACTTGGGGAGGAAAGGGTTTATTTGTCTTACATCTCCCAGGTTGCAGTTCATCAGGGAGCCCAAGGTAGGAACTCAGGGCAGGAACCTGGAGGCAGGAGCTGGAGCTCCCTGGCCCCTGCTCAGCCTGCTTTCTTATGCAACACAGGCCCACCTGCCCAGGGGTGGCACCACCCACATCACTCATCAAGAAGATGCCCCTCAGATATGGCCACAGACGAATCCAATAGAGGAAATTCTCCAATTGAGGCTCCCTAAACCCAGGTGTATCAAGTTGACACTAAAGCTATCCAGCACACCATGCCTCACAAAGTGGATTATAGCCTTTAAACTTTCTAATAGAAGGAACAAGATAGAATTTTTAATTTGAATAGTCTTAAGCTTACTGTATTCATATGGGTAGCTGTCCCAGAATGCCTGCATTAGCTTTTATTTAAAAGCCACTTAAAACAGATTTTGTCCAATATTTCAATTCAAGTCGACAGAATAGCTTAACTACCTAGACTTCACCTTGAAGTGAAGACAGGGGAGGGCAGAGAAAAAGCAGAGGAGTTGAGAGAAAAGGTCAAAGAAACTTAGTCCAGGGGGTTGGGCAAAAAGGGCAGGTTGGGAAGCA